GATATCTGATGATGAGATGCTGTTAGTGACTCTATGATCTTATCAACTAAACACGTCCCACGAAAATACTGGAGAACGCGAAAATATACGATACCTTATAACAAAACTTCGATTTTCTTAATGTCAGTTGGCCTTTCAGGCTCAGCCTGTGTTATGGCAGACAGCAAAGAGTTTCATCAGACGCGATGAGTGTCCATCCATTCGCATATGTAACTGTGAGACCGAAAAGGAAAATCAACGGGCCGATTTAATTTCCTACTTTTCCTAGAAGACAACAATCTGTCTCTTCTGTCTGTGTTTCGTGTGCCGCCCAAGCCGCCGCTGCACTAACCGCTTTTATCCATATTGATTAAAGCTATCTAGCTAGCAGGCTGTCCTATAACGACGAAAGCCGAAAGGCGAAAGGCGCCATGAAGCTGCACTAGGAATGACAGAAATGGCAGCGTTGACAAGGACAATTAATACAGCCATGCATAACATCGAACTACAATTTAAAGATACTAACGGCACGACTAGAAACCCACAACGATAGCGACGGCAATAGCTACTCGTCACTAGCAAAATAGCAATGTAAAAACGTAAAAATGCCTAACGTGAAACTATTAGAGGTATAGGATGCTAGGCGGTGGTTGAGCGAATGCGGCGATTCTTAATCCAAGAAACATACAAGTTGTCGCAATAGTAACAGAAGTATTGATAAGCAGGGCACGACAATTTATCTTTGATAACGCCTTTAGAATCGCGCTGTACGTTGATTCTAGAAGTAATCGTGTGTAAGTTCGCCGTTGACTTGCGTTCTTTACCTCAGTGCTAAAAGCCGTTGGCTCCCTGGTGGTCGCGTTTTGCACTTCGGAGGAAAGCTTGTTTCGTAAAGGCCTGTATAGAGCACTGAAGAAAGCTAAACTTGACATAAGAACAATATAACGCTTCAGATGATAATGATGATTATTTTCCTAGTTTTCCTAGATTATCATGGTAGACAACGGCATTTCAATGAGTATTCAACAAATTAGGGATTTCTTCATGTTTTGCCAATCGTTTGGAAGATTTGTTTCTACGAGCACAACCAAATGCTGCAGCTGACCGTAGGCAAATCAGGTCTTTGCATTAATCAAGCATTTGGGTCATCATAGACATTTTTCGAATTCGGATTTACCAAAAAAGAAGTAAGTTCGTTTAATCTCTCATTGTCATGAAACGAGCTAAAAAAATATATATATAGATTGAAAAATTGCAAGTGTGAGTAAGAGGAGCAGGCGTGATAACTCTCACAAGCATACACAAAAAAGAAAAACTTTTCTCGCGGGGGCATTTACTTTTCACGATATCTAAGCGATATAAGGAAAAAGCTAGAATTGTAGTGTTACTTGTGGTAATGCAGCAACGTTCGCCATTATTGAACGAACATTCCTTTGATGTGAAAAATCTTTCCCATCATGATGAAATGGTAATGTGTCTGCTTGATAAGTTTGAAGGCGCGAAGACACCCTTTGTTTCATGACAGAAGCCTGCGCCTACCTGCGTAACCGAACTTATGAAAATGCTATCTTATATTTATGTAGCCTTATGCAAACGTAACGCCACAGAAGCAGCCCCCTAACACCTCCAAATACAACATCAGTGGTTTCTTCTTGTTGAAAAGCAGAAATGCAGATTGCTTCCAATGGTACTGTGTTAAACCTAACTAAATTTGTAACCTTTTTCTATATGCATGAATATTTTTTTTTAAAAACACATTTTTTGTGTAACAAATTTGTAGTTTGTAACCTAAATTGTGACAACTAGAAAACTAAGATCTGAATAGATCACAATGGTAAATCCGAGCACTTATATTAATACAAACTCAAATATCACATGACAGATGGCCTCTGATATTTAATCCTTGAGACTATTTGCATTGCTAGTTGCGTGTGCACTCCTTCAAAATATCATCGAAATCTTTAATTATTTGAGACTTTCATTATTTAATTTCATTATTAAATAAAAACCTAACAGAATCAATTATTTGGGTGCTTACCATTGATCATTTGTTTCTATCATCCTACACAAATATAAGTGTACGCAGGGCTCACGTCTTGATGCTATAATTATAGCAACAAAATTACTACTATAATGGCACTTGAAGGCCTGTAATCAAATAGACGGTGGTACAATAACGTTTTTCAACCATAATAATTAAAGGGAAATTAAATATTTAAGTAGTTGATAAAAATATCAATTACATTATTCGAAAAAAACATTGTGACTCGTTGGAAACTCTGATTCCAAACAAACAAACAAGAATTCTTTGGCTTTTGTAAGAAACTGTATATTTAATTTTTTTTAATTTGCCGTATTCATTTTACATTTACATTCAGACCCATAATGGATCTTTCTGTTAATTTGTGTTGATAACTTTATGTAAAGGCAGCTTACATCAATCATCCATATTGAGAAGTTGCCTAAAATCACAACAGGGTAACATCAAATTTTAATCGATGTAAAGCCTATTCTCTTGATTAAATAACAGTAGCAAATACAACCAGTACGGACCAGTCAAACATATACTACACAGTATTTTTCGTTAATGTCCGACTGTTACATATTCTAAATATGTAAAACGGGAGAATACTAAGTGAGTACCTTTGTGGTTAGATTTTTAAGTATCCAAGTTTCTTCACACGATACTTACGTCCTTATATTTGGCAATACACTAAATGGTTTCAGCCAATAGTGTGGTAAGATATGATTGATTTTTATCAAAGCATTTTACATATATAGCGAGTAAGCCATTTCCTAATTATTGTCTCTTACAAGCATACGAGGACCATTATGCTACAGATGCTCTTATGTTTGCTGCCGAGTACAAAAAGAACGTTAAAGAAGGTGTTTGTTCTATCGCCTTAAAATATACAGCTATAGCAACTGGACCTTTCCATCTGGTCCAATTGCTTCTTGCTCCATATCGTTTCAATTTCATACCACTGCTGTGGACGACCTTGACCACAAAACAGCAAAATGACGCAAGAGCGCAAGATTTTCCATTGAGCCGAATAATAACTTTATTCTAAAAACGTATACTCTACTTTAAGTATGATTCATTTTCAACAGATTCAGATGAAAGTTAAACGAAAATTATGCAAGAGAAAAATAAGCATTTGTATTTATGAAAACTGGAAGTCATACATGACCCGCTTCATCTTATCAATGTTATCCCGTTCCCAAGTAATACAGTCCTGAAATGATCAACTTTTTCAAAACTAATAGCGAGCTAATAAAGTCACTGACCACGTGAAAAAAATAAGAGAAAACTAACATTATCATATGAATCTATCCGGTAACCTTCCTAACACTTGTGCGCTCAAAAGCACATGTATATAAACGCTAATAGAAACAGAGTGGTTTTATCCAGTATTTGTTATTAGTCATATTGAAACCAAACGGCCGTTGACGTTTAAAATTTTGATCACGATTCAAAAGGCGCATCCTAGAAAAGCTAAATGTGTTACGCTTGACACCCGAGCTGGCGTTAGGCAGTCCATCAGACGGCTCTAGCTTCCTCTCCCAACTCGAAACGAAGTCTGTCTAAGCCCAGGTTCGAATCTAGACCTAAGACTTGTGCTTTAAATAAGCTATAACAAGAATCTATGCCACGATAGCCCAGCCACTAAAACGTACGAATTTTCCACCATGAAAGTATTAATCGCTCTTTCACTCACTGCTCTGTACGTTGCTCCCGAGATAGTTAAACTCTACTATAATTAAACGTAGGTGAAGTCTCAGGCTCGGAAACATTTTCATTTCATTCATGCCAGATGCCTAAAACTATGGGTTTGCCAGACGTTCGATTCGAAACAACTATTTTGTTGATATCGCTATGTGGTACCCTGTCATGTCTTACCCTGGCGGCACGATCATCCTCTACGTTTCGAGTATCGCCGTTAGACACCCCATCAGCCGGCTGGCTTGCTGGCTCCCAGCCCGAAACATAGTTAGTCTATGCCCTATGGGTTTGAAGCTAGACCACAAAAGATTAACAGGCGAATAAGTTACTTACTAAGCTTATCACTCGGACATATTATTTGGCCTACATTGGCGCTATGGGCATACATTGTAAAATTAATGAAATATCTATCGTATTTCTCGAAATACTTCTGCTAGCTTACGCCACCAGATGCAATGAAACCAAAAGTTCTTAGGAGATTTGGTAAGCTGTTTGAATGTGTGCAAGAACTTTGAGGTGTAACTGGGAGTTTATTAGAATAATCATAAAATAGCAGATATTCTAAGGCGAATTTATTTCTTTATAATCGCTTTGCTGATTTTCAAAATAACCTCCCTAACGTTATCTATGTTTTATCACCATCTTTTCCTATAACATTTTTTTTAAACAACTTAAGAACGTTTAGAAGAACTGTAATAAATATAATTTCGTCATCTACTGCACATCTTTGTTCTTACGTATCTCCGATTTTTTCGTATTCTCAGTTTTTTTTGCGTGTATTCTCTTAGGGTCACTCTAGAGAGCATGATTCCGCTGGTTACGTACTCTTTATTTGAGATATTTAAATAAGAACAATGGAGAACCGGTGGGCTTAAAATTTTAAATTAACTACTAACCAGATAGCGGTCGAGCTACCGCGCGACCGCCGCGATCGTGGCAGATTATATCTGCTCTCTGCTTGATATTTGGCAATTCATAGATTTACAATTTATTATTACATCCACACTTATTACCGATAACAATCAATTAATATAAGTTTTCTTAGTTCGTAACTCACGGACATGTATTCTAATGGTACTAGAACCCAATATTGAATGCGTATACTGCTCTATAGTGTTGTATGCATAAGCAATCAAGCCTAAAATAGTTTTTTAACTTTTATTTCATTCAAATCGTAGCAGCTATTCTCGAGAATACTTCGAACAGACACATATACAGAGTTTTCAACAAAAATCATACTTAATATTTAATTAAGTACACATTCAGTTTGTATTTCTATATATTTATTATTCAAATTGCAAAAAATCTACATAATATGTATACCCTCTCCTTCTGCCGCAGATATTAAAAATGATTAACGTTCTAGTCGGTACACTGTTGACAATAGTGGACTATTAATTTACAAACTTCAACACTTTTTGTTCGGTATTCACATTTTTATTCAATTATGGTTTTTATCTTCTATCGTATGCTGACTTAGACATCATTTTTAAAATAATTCCGCAAGAATAAATCCATTTACTTCAGGCCTAGGAAGCACGCGGTGTATTCTATGGCGCCTCATCGTCCAACCCACCTGTTTGACAAATTCTCACCAAGAAAAGTTTTTATATCACGATAATAGAACACAGATGCTCCGTTCTATTGGACATAGAACTTGCCATCTTCACCAACGTCTTCACGAATGCATCATAAAGCAATATACTTACAGTAAATTCAGGTAGTTGGCACTAACGTATATATTTTTAGGTTACTCTGTGATATGTGAAAATGTGTACACATCACGTTTGCTTTATATGGTCGAACACGTCGATCAGTCATGATACCTACAACAAGCGTTTTATCTAGTAAATACAAATCCTTACAATACGGAATAACAGATGTTGGTCTTTTTATTATCAAAAATGTTCTCCTTTAGATGAACGAACTCTATAGCAATCTCTAAATAATTTTTTTCATCAACTATAATGACTTCAAAATATGATAATTGGGTAGCATACTAATAGTGCATGGCAGTATTTTCTAAGGGCAACTCTCAATCTTACTTAAATAATATATGCCACCTCTGTATATGAATGACACAATCTGATTTTGTTGGTAAATCGCCGATGCAATGCTAGTTTAGAAATCTGTTGATGGTGTCGTAAGGCGGCCTAATCGACCTATGATCCCTCTCAGAAGGTACTTTCTCAGTATATAGGGGTCTGTAGTGCTCATCCGTGCTGTATATAATATAAGAACATAATGCCTGTGTTTGTTGTTATGCACATAGCCAAAAAGCAGCTATCATTTACATGAAAATGTTGTGTACACATATGCGTTTTTGTAATGTGTAATATCATATTTTTTCCAACATAAAATAGCCACAATTTACGTTTACCTATGAACATGTTCGAGCCATTGGCAACCGTTGAAATGCCCGTAAAAGGATTTTTCGGCAAGATCTTTCGAAGAAAATATTATAGGAATAGCAAGGGAGTACAATGTAGCTTATAGTCTACCTTCGAATGCTAAGTAGAAAATATTTCATGCCAACTTCGCAAGCTGTATAGAGCAGATGGAGCCACTCGCACCTATGCGATCCAGCTTAGTAAAAAGTAGTCACTATGATAATGTGAATTCATTTCATACAAACATTGATTACTCTGTTGTCCCTGCAATTAATGTGACTTGTTACGTAGCATTTGTGTTTGATAATGCCCTTATTTTTTCTTCAGAAGGACTAAATAAATGTCTAATATCAATTTGATTCTTCTGAAGTACCTCAAAGCGCTTAGATCGGCCCGTTGATTTCGCTTGGAGATGCGTTGCCGTGTGCCACTTATTAAACAAGCCACGCGTAGCCACGAGATCGGCTTACTAGGTTAAAACTATTTTTCATTGACTCGATTTCGGCAGTACATTTTTCACCTAAAATAATGATTATAATGCATTTCTTAATTCGGCGATGCTCTGTCTATGCGCTTATTTAATTAATCTTTCTCCGGCTCGAACCCATCAAAAAAGGGATGTCTGAGGGCCGCCTCCGCGGTAAGTCGCTTTCTATAATCGAATTCTACGAGCGCACGGATGAGATTAATTGCAGCTGGTTCCGCCTCAGGAATCAGATTTGCGAGATCCTCCCCTGTGAATAAAAATGTAGCAAATACTGAACGTCACGTTGCAAGAGTACGAGAAAGACGAAAGTGGAATAACCTCAATGAACTTTAATAACACTTTAATTATTCATGCAGACAAAATATGAAATACCATTTTTATTTTATAATTCATAACATTTGCCGTATGCTATGGAATTAACGGAATGGAAGAAAATCCAACTACTCTTTGGGCGAAGACAAACATCCAGTACATATTTATACCGGAGCACACAAGTTGCCATTATATTTTGTACCTTTTCCAAAGTTACTGAAATGCTCCCAGGCCATGCAAACGTCTTGTGGCCAGCTTTCTCTAGATGGCGTTCCGATAATCTGCAACGTGTACGAACAAAGATTAATTTTAGTGGGCATGCTCCAATGAACTTTTCAACTATACCTTTATGTCTGTTATACCAAGGAATATTGTATAAAGCACTAGTTTAGATTTGCACACATTCGTGCTTTCAACCGGAAACCATTAAAGATTATAGCCTTAACACTCCCCACAAATCCTGCGCCAAACTCCTACTTTATTTTTGTGGAACATATTAGCTATTTAAAAAAAGAGTACCTCAAGAATTTTGCCCAGTTGACTGCCCTCTGAACTTCCTGGGAAGAGCGGTTTGCGTGTGAATAGCTCTGCAATAATGCATCCACAAGACCACAAATCCACTGGACTGGCGTAAACTGATTGCAGAAGTACCTCAGGAGGTCGGTACCTGGAAGTCAAGTTGTACCAGACACCTGTTAGAAATCTGCTGATAAGTGTAGAAGAGTTTGACATATTATTTAAACGAAGTATTTTGCAAATAACTAGTAATGCTCGCGCTGTGCATTATCGAGGAGGCTGGTCAAAATTAAAAGCGTCTACAGTATCCTATTCCGATAACAAAAATAAAACAAAAATGAAGGCCTTACTGATCATCTCATCGTCGATGTTAGGTAAATATGAGATTATAAGCAAAAACAATGTCGAACAATCGTAATCACTTCGTGTCATAGTGTTGAGTTACGTACCAAAGGGTGACAACGACAGGTGTGAGAGCCATCTGATATTCGTAGATGCGAGCCAGGCCAAAGTCGGCCAATTTGACGACGTACCGATCGGTAACAAGTATGTTTTGTGGTTTAAGGTCACGATGTACGATTCTGTTTGCATGCAGAAACTCGATACCGGTCAGCATTTGGTGCGAAAGTGATTTTATCAAACTGGATTCAAGTCCGGGCGGGGGACACTTCTCAAGGAAAGTGGCTAAGTCTTGATCAACATGCTCCAGTACGAGAAAGATTACCTGCGATAAAGCGAAACACAGTCTATTACGTACTCTTTGATAAATACAGTAAGACACAACTTATTGAGTGTTATAATGTACAAATCTACAGCGGTTCTTATATCTTTTGCAGCTATATAAATAACGACTGGCTGTTAGGTCATGCCTTCCTGAATATTCACTTTGAAGCCAATATACTAATCTATTTCTGTTTTCGTAAAGAGTATCCTTCCCTTTATTGAGAGATGCGTTGTAAGTTTTAAATTATCGTCTTAGTAAGCGACCGTACTTTATTCAAAGACACGTAAAATCTATATAGGGAATACACATTTCATGACTGTACACTGGCTCCTTACGAGGTCATTGTTTCCACGCCTTCCGTGACAGATGTCGTAGAGTTGTACGATGTTCTTGTGACTGAATGCCTCAAGCTGCTTCAAAAGTGCGATTTCACGCAATACTGACAGAGGAACTCCATCATCAGTTATCGCCATCCGCACCTAAAAGGGCCAAAAATAAACAAAATCAAGATACAACTTAGAAACGAGTTAAAGACATTTATGTATATAATGCGAGCCTCAGTATATAATTCCTACAATCAATTCCTAGTCATGTTGTCAGAGAATAACTTACCTTAAGAGCACATAATAGTATTATTAAGATCGCTTAAATATACGCAGAGTTTTTGTTTTAAAAATCAATTCAAAGACTCAGTTAACTTACGTAGCCAAGATTACAGCGATGGCGCATCAATAAACAGTAACACAAACCTTCTTAAGAGCAACGAATCTTCCTTCATTTTTCTTGTCCCGCGCTTTGAAGACTGTGCCAAAAGCGCCGGTCCCGATATGATTGAAATCGTCGTAATTCTTTAACCCGTTCATTTTGGATTTAAAAGGCGACCAACTGGAAAGGGAAAGATGATTCAGTAAATTTTTTGTCCAATTTATAGTGCGATCTTTCCCAAAAGTCTTAATCCTGGTGGGCCATTTTATGGTTTGCATAATCCGGTATTTCATTTGTATGCTGTAAGCTGACGTAAATATGCCGAAACCAGTTAGAAGAGCCAACACTTTCGTACTTTTTCTGGCTAGCGAGCACTAGTTGATATAACGTATTGTTTCTGTCAGCTTGAAGTCACAATTCGTTTTCTTAAAAGTTTCTGAAAGATGAAAAATGATAGCATTGATAATGGGCAGGTGAATGCTCCATACAGAGCCATTTTCTTCCTGGGGTATCTACCAAAAGCTACTTTTTAGGCATAACCCACCAAATCAGCGCAAATACACAACCACATTCTACGATAACGACAATAACCTCGGCAGTAATCAATAAAGAACATTATTGCAATCGAAAACCCAGATGGGACTTTTTAAATTACGCAGTGCCTATTAAGTTAAAATAAAAGCTTTATCGTAAACCGTTTTCTGATGCAGTGGGTGTAAACAGGCCAATGTGTCTTCGTATGAAAGCCATGCACCCTGCCTTTTACGCAAGAGCCTATAACCTAACTTCGTTAACCTTGACATCTTATATTGTTGATAATAATTTTTAGGCAGCAAGAATGGCATGTTATTATTCAATTGGAATTGGCCTTCTCTAGTGTGCAGCTACGCGTCGCCTTACATTTAATAACAACTGGGGTTACCTGAAATGACAAATTCAACTCTATTCAAAACCCATGTCGACAGAAAGTTGGAATTGCGGTTGTCTAACAAGGAATTTCGTATAATCTACATATCAATACAGGACCAATTGTGATCTATTAAGCAAGCGGTTTTCAAATCTACGTTTAGCGCACGCTCACCTGTTGCTACTAGTTTATAAGGCAATTACTGATTCCAATATTCATGGTTCCTCTTAATAAAAGCTAATGTACTTCGAACGAATTGAGATGGTATACTTTAACTGCAGAACCGACCTGTGTGACAAGGTCAAACCGCATAACGAATTTCCTTGATACTACAAAAAATTGCGAGACAAATATCCATTACCTCGAACTTAACAAAAACTACCGGAAGCGTGTCTCTGGAAGCTATCTATCACTGATCTACAAGAACCTACAAAAAAGACCTGCCCCGTCCTATAATCGCTACTTTATATTCAATTCATATTGCTATTGTTGACCGTAATCTCGTATAACGTACCGAAGCGGCGCCTTTTTCCCGTTCCAAAATATTCGAACAACACTGTCTGCGATGCAAACAAGCGAACACCGTCAAACTTCACAACCTCACCATGGCTCCTCGTCGAAGAAGTAGAACTTGTTTACATCAACCTATAGCTTCCTACAAACTTCAACAGCGAAATAGGCACAACACTGTTATATTTGTGCCAGATCTAGTCGCTTCTTAAAAGTTTACTAGGGCTGTCGTAGTTTTTGTTTATTGTTGTGTTGTGCTCTGATTTATTCGTCTGTCTGGAACAATTTATTGGGGCCGTGAATAGCCAGCGCCTCCCCTTCGTCTGCTAGCGTCGCGACCGAGGAAAGAAGAACCCTGCTGATGATCTTTGTTTACTCTTCGTTTTCCGCCAGTCGGGTGCTGATCCTGTTCTTCGGGGATTCCAGGCCACATATGTTATCCAGTGTACGTTTTAACTGCTACACAGACGTGATGTGTCTGCACTTCAGTTCTTTTTTGTGGATTGAATATGGATTAAGGAACAAGCCGTGTATAGACATCGTAATATGATGATAACGTTTTAAGTAAACAGTTGGCTGACCTTCGTAAAGCAAACCTGTTCGCTATATGATGACCATATCACTGGAATTATAGAAACGAAACAGTTCATGTATCGATGAATGTAAAAATTAACACTGAAATTAATGATTGCTATTGATATTTGCTTCTATCGAGTCGTCAACGGTAATAAGAGGTGCGTAGTCCATTATTAATTTGCGCATTGAACGCGTCAAGGAAACGTAAATGCTGATAAACATGATCTAATTGCTCATGTTCGTCCATATCTATAACTATGTGACAAATTGTTAATTGGGCTATTCACAACATACACAGCAAAAATTGATAAACAACAATCTAATATTAATGCTTACCTTAAATTAGAAGAAAAGTCAAATTTTATAGTCTCAAATTATCCTTATTACCGTACAAGTCAAACTTGTCATAGTGGAATGTATGGGATTGAACCTTCATCATGAATTTACACAAGTAGACAACGAGAAATTAGGTCAGTCTAGTAGCTCTAAAGCAATTGAGTACATGAAACGCGCAATACAAGATTATTCCTTTGGCCTTTGTTAAAATGGACCTACCAAAAACCGAGAATTATTTAGTCTGATTATATTAAAGAAGTTGACTTCAGTTTTTTGAACAGTTTTTTTTTTTTTTTTTTTTGTGATATATAAGCCTTCACGTACAAGTCTTCTTTTAATATAAAAGTTATCCCTATCGTGAATAAAATATAGGGGCCATGTATTGTTCCAGTGGTCTAGATCATCTATATGGAAATCTTTTTGCCCGAGGTGTTCGGATTAAATGGCAAAACCGAATATAGCAACCATGTAGGTTTGTCAACTGTAGCATCCCGAGTCGAGTTTATACGATCACTTTATCTTGACCCGTTTAGCATGGTATGGCACATTGAAAACATCTGGGTGGGAACTGAAATGCACTATATTTTTCCGTATGGACAGAAATTGCTATTGATTAGGATATGTACGTAAATTCCTTGCTTTGGATCAAATGGTTTATTGTTATCTGTTTTATGGGCGGTACGGGAAATGTTATTTAGAGCATTGTGCTTTCTTTGCTTTATTTAGAGTATTCTATTGTAGATAACAATAAGGATTAGTAGATCAACGCATGAAAAAAAACACGAACATTGTGAGGACATAGAGCAGTCAAAGATTCCTTACGTAACTTGGCTGCCATATAAACTAGTGCTCAAGGTGGTAATTTGAGGATAATTTATTCTATTTCAACTATTGGTATGTTAAGATTTATTGCACGAGCTCATCATGTATTCACTGTAGAAATGAATATTGATACTCGAACTCGTTCTACATCGATAACAACAATGATTGCAATTCCTACGAGGATTGAATTTGTTCATAATTGACTGCTATTCACGCTTCAGTAGTAAAATAAGATTATGCCCAAAATTTAGGAAGGACTACTAAAGTAATCTTAGCTAATTATTCAATTGATATTATTTTACATGACAGTTGTTATGTTGTTGCTCATAATATTTACGTTTTAAAAATAGGAGCCGTATTTGCTATAATGCTTGGTGTTGTTTATCGACTTTTTTAAAATTTTTTTTGGATTGAGTGTAAAGTTTTTAAAGATTCACTCTCAGTAATATTTGTATGGCTAAATATAACTTCTTTCAGCATATTTTTAGAATCAAGAGGTATATTTAAGGGTTATTCAGATTATCCTGATTTTCAATGAGTACCTCGCTAAGCTCAAGTGTTCATGGGCTCGTTCTGCTGCGTGGGCCGCTAACAACACCGTTCTGCTGGAAGTCTACGTTAGAAATTTTCAATAGTTTTCAGTTTTTACTCGTATTTTTTTCAAATTTGACAGTGTTATTTATGTTACAGATTGTACTTCCGAACATAATTAGAAAATGTAACATAGCCACTGTGTCGAGCCCTGGTATGACGTGGGTGACTTTTTGAAAAAAGCCGTAAAAGATACTGTCAAGACCAGATTTTTAACCCGAATTCGAGAATAAGATGTTTGTACAAGAAACGATGATATATATATTGATTTCTAGTTTATTGAATAACATATGTGCGGAAAATAGAGATAACTACCAAATTGAAATCAACATGACAGATATCTTAATCTCATAATAAGCGTTATAGTCGATGAAGAATAACTTTATTGCGCACAAGCAACAAAAAATGATTAAGAGGAACCTAATGTATGAATACTTGTGTTCAGGGTACGAGTTTTTTTGATAAACAGAATGGAAAGGTAATGCGCTAGGTAAACGTCGAATACTTCGGCATTGTTATGGATCACAATATTGAACACGTAATCATGTAACTGCGTAGAATAGAACTTGCCAAAACAATGATCATTTCAAGTAAACAGTTGACAGCAGCGGTTCCTGTAGCAATTATAAGAGTCTAGTGATATGTATTGAAGTATAGTATAAATGAACGTGTCGGAAAAATCCTGTCATTAAGACTGGAAAGCTTTAATATTTGCTATTGTAAGAGAGACCCTTGTCGGCTGCTCGGAGAGCCGAGAACGTATTTCATGAAAGTCGCAGAATTTTGAAACCTGCATTGCTCATTACACAGAGTTGTTTACCGTAATCATGAGAGATGTTTTTAATGTGTGAAAAATATTTGAGCAATAAGTGAAAAACGCTACTTTAAGAGTATAAATCGAAAGTCATACTGCTGATAAACACCGCCCGTCGACTGGGTTGACACGATGCTTGCCTGCAGATCTGTGGCACTTTTCAGCTCTTCTAGGTTGAGGCTTTCTAAACTAATCTATGGAACTAAGCTGCCTATTTAGCCTTAGTTCGATTATGTCCGTACAGAACTAGAGTAAAATTTGATCGATAAACTTTTAGTAGAATTAAAAATTTGCAACGCGGTCTGGTATAATGTATTCTTGGGAAGAGACGATACGCATGCATTTGGAAGGCGCGCTCGTCCTCACCGTCTATCTTTGTTGACGCGATGTTCCAATTCTGTAATCTATGCTTAGACATATTTAGATGCATCGTGGATATGAAGTACTTTTCTTCTGGGTGACATCGTACTTACTGCTGTAACAAGGAAATATCAAATATCGATATTTAGTGTGAAAATGTGGAGAATGGATCAACTAGCTTTAGCTTGTCGTTTGTATGTAGAAATATATCGTAAACTATGTAAGTTACCCACGTACCTGTGTAATTTTTACCGCTCAAATAAAATCTCGGTTTTTTGGCTATGTTGAAACCTAGAATCAAAGTTGAAATTATTGGAAAGGTATTAATTATTATAGATTTGAGCTACAAGGTTTTACGTAAAACATGTGTGAGTGCTTTATAGCGATCAAATTGATTATAATAGCCTTGTTCTTCTGTCTGTCCCCCCAGAGTGTAGAAGGTCCGTTTCGTCTTCTTGGGAGTTCTACCGGCTAGTTACAGAACGCCCAATCATCTTATCAAAATCACTAAATTCTCTATTCACAGTTAGCCATTGAATGCTCTCGGAGAAGTCATCAGTGGGTCTGGTAGAATTGCTGTTTAATGCCAGCGATTCTAAGAGCATAAGACCAATGAAAACATTTTCTCAAAGTTATCCGAGACTATAGGTGCGTTTCCAGAAAGCAAGATGGAATCTGAAGGACGTACCTCCACTGATACATATGGCCGATTGGTAAGTACGGACTTGAATCTTTTTTTCAAGATCAATATTAGCCAGTAATATATGTGTTCCAAACATTTTTAGTGTATTGCAAGTTGAAAAACGGAGTCAATACATCACTCTTTACATTTTGAAAGAAGGACTTTTATTCACAATAAACTCAGCTCATGCTCAAGTAAACAGCATGTATTAATATGCGATGATTATAAAAATAGCATGGCTCTTATTTGATAAGAAAGAATATTATACGTGGCGTATTAAGTACATTATATAATACCAAGCATCATTTTTTTTACTTTAAACATGTTTTTCCTGCTAAAGTTCACGTATGCAAGTCAAATTAGCATCTTTATGACCACAGTTTAGCTGATCAATGATGACTGATTAAATGTTTTGTTTCCATAGGTGTGTATGGCGTATATATTCAATCTGATTGTGGGGACAGGAGCGCTGACGATGCCGCGTGCTTTCTCAGAAACTGGATGGCTTCTTGCCGTCATTAGCCTTACTGTTCTTGCCTGTATAAGTTATTTGACTGCCACATTTATGATAGAAGCTATGGCTGTCGCTAATGCCATCGTTCGCTTTAAGACTCTGAAATCTTATGAAAGCGTTAGTTGAGTCAATGTTCAGACTAAACATTTCTCATTGAGTAAACCTATATGCAATACTGCCACGAATTCGCGTAGTGTATTTTGCTGATTATGGTATATATATTACAGCATATATATATATATATATATATATATATATGGTACACTTATTACAGCATGTTCCCACAGTTTTCTATTATAAGTTAGCGTATTGAAGCCTTCCGTGATCTACAACTTTAGATGGTACATGTTTTATTTCTAATTTGTTTTTTTTCAGACGTCCAATCAGCAGCAGGACAATATGACTTCTCCTGTGGAAGTCCAGAATGACTCAGTAGTAAGTGGTCTTTACAAGTCCGAGTAGCCTATGAATGATTCAACCGCTATAGCTTATTGGAAGTGTTTGATCAAAACAATTTTGATACGCTCTGTACAAATATTTTAAGGGTTATAATGCTCTTTGAACAATAGAAGCGTCCCTGGAAACGTTCCTTTTTAGCTTAAAACTTACATTGTTTAGATGACACACTATTTTCGTTACAGTCTTTATTTATAAAGTCCAGCTTTGACTTGCGAATGTATGTGAATAAATTCTCACTCACATAAAAGTATTGTATACGAAACTGCTGATCTACGATATCTCTTATACCGTTCTGCAAGTCTTGTCTCCACATTTCACTATGTAGAATAGTTACTTAATTTTCTTTCATGCCAGAATCAAATGCGGAACGACGAGGCACTGGCATATACCGATCACGACGAGAGGGCACCCCTTCCTGTTAACGGTAAGATTGCCACATACCTTATAATCAGGTAGTCTGCTACGCAGCTATAGAGAATAGTTACATTATTTATACTGAACCCTTCATCGTCCCTGCAAAAGCGACTCTACACGTATCAGCATGTATTTACCAACTGATAATTCTAAAAAAAAAAAGAAATAGCTAAAGCTTTTCATCGTTTTGATGAGCTAGGAGTCCCGACAATGGCTTATTAATATATTGTTGAACAAATAAATTCCACGTGACGACAATGAATGATAATAATCAAGTTGTAGTTTCGCTTTTTATTATGCTTAGTTAATTTTAGATACATAAACTAGGTTTATAAAGTTTAGTTCTAAATGAATAAACTAGGCAAGCTTCATAGCGTATGGTTTATTACATAATACGTGAGAATAGTATGTCTACATAAATTGTTGAAATACTGCTAGATCACTTCGTTATGTACATTTATGATCTGAAATGCGTCTTGGAGGTATCATCAAGACGAAATCTCACTGCAGTATATGCATGCACTATCATCAATGTGTCACATTTTGATACGATGATTTCCGACAAAAGTGATAGCTGTCATTGCTTAAAATGTCGATGATCTGACTTTGAGATGTTGTTAATTAAATCTTTTTCTCTTTTCTAGACCTGGAACAAGGATAAAAGCACTCAAACATCGCCTGGGATGTTACGTACAAACAATCTAAACCAACTTACTTTTTAATTCGTCCTAATATTCACACAGACGTCAATCCAAAATTTAAACTTAGTTCCTGTCTATTGATGGAAGATAATTTACTGAGCGGGTATATGTGGGTGTGTGTCTGATCGTCACTCATTACATCTTCCTAGCAAGCCACAAGTATCTGTTGTTGCTCCAGCAGGGGTTGGATCGCGAATGGAAAGCTTTAGTAAGACTAAAGCAAAAGATGAACTTTCGCGATGTAGTGCTTTAAAATGTTGTTTCGTAATATGTAGAACAGACATAACGTACGTATATTTATTGACAAGGGTAAAAACTAAATCCTTTATGATTCACCTCATTAATATTTATACTAGTTCTAACTCAACGGTATTGAAAAGGTAGCACAAGGCAATGATTCTAAATTTTGTCTAAAGTACATATCACATAACTGCGTCGATCGAATGTAACGTTGTAGGCATGACTCTGCCATACTTTCTATGAATTGTGATTGTCAATATGAGTTTCTAATTGTTACTAATTTTTAAATGGCGTATGTCTGAACATATCCTTCCCATATATTTAATACGTTGCATATATCTGTTTTATTACGTAGGTTCGATGCAATCTATTCCGCAGAATGTACTGGAGCGCTATTTTGAAATAACAGAAATCTTTGAAATGGGTACGTATGCAAATGCAATTAATATCTGATAAAGCGAAATAGAACATTATTATCATTATCGCGAAACTACAAACGCAGAAATTTTTAATGCTAAGGAAAAAGTTTATTACCTAAAGGGCATGAGCTTTCGTTAGTCACCTCATCTGATTGGAATACACTGGAACCTTCGTAGAGCGATCAGTCTAACGCGGCAAACAATAACGTTTATTGTCATAATTGTTATCGTGATTTTTTTTTACAGGAAGAATGGCAAGTATGTTCTACAATACATGGGGTCTGCGCCTGTTTTACATTTGTATTACACTTTATCTCTACGGTGATTTGGCCATTTATAGTACGGCGGTTGCTAAGTCACTTCGAGATCTCGCATGGTACTTTACAAAATACTTCATTCCTTTAAAGGTTTCCTGTGTTCGTATTAAGAAATTAGTTTGTATCATATTAAAGGAATAAAAATACGATGTCAAACACTATGTATATTACTTTATGGCTGAATTAAGTTAAAATCATTTATCGTGGTGAAAATCGCGATTGAGAGAACGAACTAAGGGGTACGTCTTGATCTGCTTAACTGTGCCATGTATCGCTTATGTATATATATATTTTTTTTTATCTGAATTTCAGCCAACGAATAAAAGATAACAACAGCATATCTGATATGTGCTGGCCCGACTACAACATCTCTCAAGCTAATGTAAAGCTATATTGTTTATTACTATTATTATTGTATGAATGATTATAAAATGATAGTGATTGGGTGACGACAATGTGTTTATTTCTGTTTAAGTATAATCGTTAAATTCTTTAAAATATTAATATATGGATTTTTGCATATATACATAATAAAACACAATTTTTGAAACGGCCAACGGCTGTTTTTAAAGAAAATAGGTATTTACTGATAGTGTCTCATTTTATTATTGTGTTATTTCAGATGTACTTAATTTCTCTGGCTATTTTTATATTTGCCGTAGGACCCTTTACTTTCTATAATGTACAAAGAACAAAGTATTTGCAAATCAGTATTACCATTCTCCGCTGGAAAGGTAAGAGCACAGATTAAAAATCGTATCGTAACCGTGATCAAGTGAGGTCAAATTTGGTGAAAGTGTAAAAATTCTTATATTGATTTTTCTTTGTTAAGCTACATATGTGTATAGATCTTTCAATAAATGGTTGTAAGCGAACGGCGAACAACAGTTTGATTTCTCTTGCAACCTTTTCAATTTTTTTCGGCAATGTAACACATTTTTCGAGACTGTTTATATATATATATATATATGTAGACACATCTGTTTTAATTGTAAATATTAGTAAATGAGTTTACACAATAAAGTAATCTTTGCAAAGTTTGTAACGTATTATAAAAAATGTGCGACTTATTTAGCAAACCCTAATAACATACGATGCCAATACTATAGTACGGAGTATATATGAAAGATTTTTATGTAAAGATATAAGTATAGGCATGGCTTCTACCCTGCAAAATGCCAAGTTCATTCACAAAACCTTTACACAGTCATTTTTTTTTTATCTATTAGCCAAAAATGTATTTAATATAAATACTAAAATATATTAAAATCTATTATTAATATAAGTTATT